AAAAGAACCCGGGCCTGTTTTGTTAAAACCCAGCCAGGGGCTGCAGCTGACCTCATGCTGAGCTCTTCCCGCAGGTCACCGGCGACCTCTTTGATATCATGTCTGGGCAGACAGATGTGGATCACCCCCTGTGCGAGGAATGCACAGACACTCTGCTCGACCAGCTGGACACGCAGCTGAACATCACGGAGAACGAGTGCCAGAACTACAAGTGAGTGATCTGGGGCAGACCCAAGCCTAGGGAAGGGACCAGCCCTCATCCGGCTTTCCATGCTCGGGCAGAGACATCCCTGACTTCAGCACTTGGGGTTTTCTTTGAATGAAATGAAAAATTATTTTTGAGAGTCCTGTGGTCCCCAGCTGCTGTCTGTGAGCCCATCAGAACGCTGACGGCGCCTGCCCACGGTGCTCACGTGGCACCGTGTGACCGAGGGCTCCACAGAGACGGCTGCTGAGCAGCGCAGATCCTCGGTCACCATCTCACTCCCCCGTGCTCCTGCCTCGTGGTGCAGGACCAGCACGGAGAGCTTGGGATTAATGAGAGGCCAGAGCCCCTCTTTGTGCTTCTGCTTGCACACAGGCTGCCACGGAACTGGGGGCTGCTGGCAGGGGCTTCCCGGGATCCCTGCGTGGTAAGCCCATCACTCCTTTAGGAGATGTCTGGAGATACTGGAGCAAATGAATGAGGATGATAAGGAGAAACTGCAAACGGAACTGAAAGAGCTTGCGCTGGAGGAAGAGCAGCTGATCCAGGAGCTAGAGGATGTGGAGAAGAACCGTAAGATTGTGGCTGAAGACTTTGAGAGAGTCAGGGCAGAGGCAGAGCGGCTGGAGCAGGAAGAAGCTCAGTGAGTGAACTACAGATCCTAGGTAACAGATGAACAAGATCATAATGCGGAGAAGCCTGTAAATAATGCCCAAGTGCAAGTGGCTTGTTCTGGGCAAAATTTAAGTTGGCCAGACCACAAACCCTGGTACACTGCGTGAGCATCGTTTTGTAAAAGCCTGTGCTGAGCACTTCCTGTCTTGCCTTTAATAAAAGGTATCAGAAGGAATACTGTGAGTTCAAGAGGCAACAGCTGGAGCTAGATGACGAGCTGAAAAGCGTGGACAACCAGATGCGCTACGCCCAGATGCAGCTGGATAAACTGAAGAAAACCAACGTGTTCAATGCAACGTTTCACATCTGGTAAGGCAGACGCTGGGACACTGTGTCACTTGGCTCAGGACCTGCAGCGTGGGGCTGCTGGAGTAACAGGGCCTTTGATGGGAAAGGCCCTGGTCCAGTTGTAGTTACCCACCACAGAGCAACTGCTCACAGCTCCTGACAGTGTCACCCGAGAGGTCTTGATGCTTTGCAGGAGTCCAGTTGGGATGTGAAATGGCTCATGAGCTAATGAACCAGGGCCTGCTGTGCTGCCAAAGGCAGTGCTCTAGTGTCACGTTTACAGAGCAGGTAGCTCAGGCCCTTTGGGGTTTTGGTTGGGGATTTCTGGTTGGTTGGGTTTGGTTTTGTTTTTTTTTTATGAACTGTCATAAGAGAGCAAGTGGTTGGTGTTTGTATCCACCATTTAGCTGTAGCCCCCAAGCCCCCCCAGCTCGGTCGGCAGCACACGTTGCCGAGCCCCTGGCAGGGGCTCAGTTAGCCTGCTAGAGGCTGCCCCTGCCCCACGCTCATTTGCAGTCCCTCTTGTCACAGGCACAGCGGCCAGTTTGGCACAATAAACAACTTCAGGCTCGGCCGCCTCCCCAGCGTGCCGGTGGAGTGGAACGAGATCAACGCGGCCTGGGGGCAGACGGTGCTGCTGCTGCACGCCCTGGCCAACAAAATGGGCCTCAAGTTTCAGAGGTACCCTCAACAGCCACACACGTCAGGCAGGCCTGCGTTTGGACAGACCTGCTCACCTGCCTGCCAATCCCTTCTCCTTTCAGATACCGTCTTGTACCATATGGCAACCACTCATACCTAGAGTCCCTCACAGACAAGTCAAAGGTAAGAGATCCTGCACAAAGCAGAGGACGCTGACCTTAAATGCCACAGAACCCACCCTGGGGGACAGAGAAGATAAACTCAGCTTTTTGTGAATTTATGGTACAGGTGAGGCAGCTGTCCCAACTTCTCCAGCACCACATTATCTCACTCCATATCCAAACCAAGCCACTCCTTGTGCCATCCAGGAGTGTTAAAAGCAGCAGGACTCTTGAACAATGCACCGCAGCTGGCCAGGGGAACGTAACATTTGGGGTGATCAGTGGCAGTGAGAAACTCAGGCCTGCACGTGGTAACCACAAAACAAGTCACGCTTACGTGCCACAGTCTCTAGGCAGCCCACGACAGCGTTGAGCCTCACACCAGACTGAAGAGCCACAAGAGCCGTGTCTGAAGGGGAGCACTGGGCGTGCCTGACACGGGTCTCTCTTCCAGGAGCTCCCCCTCTACTGTTCTGGAGGCCTCCGGTTCTTCTGGGACAACAAGTTTGACCATGCAATGGTGGCTTTCCTGGACTGCGTGCAGCAGTTTAAAGAGGAAGTGGAAAAAGGTGAAACTCGGTTTTGTTTGCCATACAGGTGAGTGCTGTGCCAAATTAACCCCTCGTACGCCAGCCCACGGCTGGAGCAGCCCGTGGCACCGCCTGCTGCTTTGGCCCTGTCCTGGAACCCTTCAGTCATCGTGAGCAAGATCACGTTAGCTCTTGGTTTAACTGAAGTTTAAAACTAGTTCCTCAGGTGAAGACCTGAGGCTTACCAGATGTCCTTCAAAACCCAAGCATTCTTACATAGAATAAGATGAATGTCGGATTCAAACTTTAGTTCCTGAGGCTGTGTTGAGATTAAACATTTGCACTAGTTATGCACTAATAAAACTTTGTGATTGATACAGGATGGATGTGGAGAAAGGGAAGATTGAAGATACAGGTGGCAGTGGTGGCTCCTACTCTATTAAAACACAGTTTAACTCTGAGGAGCAATGGACAAAAGCACTAAAATTCATGTTAACTAACCTGAAGTGGGGTCTTGCCTGGGTTTCATCCCAATTCTATAACAAGTAACCGTATGAAGAACTCGTCCCAGCAGTTGTGGAGTGTCTGCGTTTCGTCGGAGAAAATCAAATTAAGATGTCTCTTAATATTAGCCAGTACAAAATGTTTACAATACCAAAAATCCACAAGACACTTTATTTAAAATACCATTATTACAAGTAGTATATAGAAAAGCAATATGTAAAGTTATATCACTGAGCTGAACACAATAAAAAAAAAATCAGCTACTAAATGGATCCTAAACTGGTACTTTTGGGGTTTATAGATACATGTGTAAACTACTGTCAAACTTCAGAACACCAGTGAGTTTGATACTATGGTTACAGCTGAACACACATTAGAAAAATGAAATGTTACCAACAGAAGGAATAGTAAGAGAACTCATGGAAGCTCTGCTCAGTTCTTAAAGGGTAACTAAAGTTTGAAACAGAAAATTCTCAGTCATATGAACTGTCAGTCTGAACTGAACAAGGCTTGATACTGTAAAATGCTCATAGTAACGGTTCACGAGTTCCTCCTGCCTGAGGTGCAGAGAGTAAGGAAACAAACAAACACACTCTGTGTAGAATAGCATCTCGCATCTGCCAGGCACAGCATGAACAGACCCCAGCACTTTGCTGAGGGAGCTTCTGCTGTCGTGACAACAGCTCCATGACAGAAGGGGTGGGATTGTCCCTTCCACAACACCTGCTGGCTTCCCCGGGTGAGAGCAAGCAGGCTCTGAGCTCTGGCAGGCAGGGAACATGGTAACAAGCTGCTGGAGACGAGCTGTTCAAAAGCAGCAAGTGGAGGAGGTCCAGCCCTGCTGGCAGCGACAGCCTGTGAGCTGCTGCTGCAACGTGGGTTGCTGGGCAGAGCACCATGCACGTTGATGCCGTTCAAAACACGGCTTGCCTGAGGGAAACACGCCTGTAACTGAGACACTGCTCTTGCAATAAAGCTTTTGGTGCTGAAAGAGGCATTTCTAAATGCTGCCTTCTGTCTCAGCACTGCTGCACACCTGCAAAGATCAGTGTTTCCAATAAACACATAACAAATGAAACGTTACAGAAAACCTCCCGTAACACCAAACTGTGCAGGGCACAGCAGGACTGTTACCAGCAGCATCACCCTTCGCTGCGATACGCTGGCGCCTGGCTGCAGCAGACAGGACTGTTTGAGGGGCACAGCTCTGCTCTGCAGAGCTCCTGTTCCACAGCTCCTAACAGTGCTGCTGCGGAGTGCGGCTGCCCACGATGTGTCTCAGCACTGCGTAAGAGAAGTCTAAGATGCTTTGTGAAGCAATGCCAGTGATCCAGTTTAAATGCTCCACAACCTTAAAAAAAAGCAAACAAGATTCTTCCTCAGTGCCCAAAAGACATTAGTTTACAGATACACTTAATCCTCCAATTCTAACAAGAATAATAGTGCTCCACAGGTGCCTGCAACAGAACTTGAACACTCAGCGTGTTTTATTTGGCTGGGGTTTTGCTTGCTTGTTTTGGGGGTTGTTTTTGTTTTTAAATTTAATTGCTTCTACTAAAGTAAAATCACAAAGCCAGTATCTGTAGTAAGCATTTGTTACCATATTCAGTAGCAGTTTTGGGCAGTACTGGGACTGCTGCTCCACCCGATCTACGGGGGTTTGTTCTGCTGTGAAGAAGCTGCGGCGCGAGTGGGACCCCCCGTGCGCCCTCACAACGCTCCAGCAGTAACACGTGTGCTTCCCTCTACAAAAACCTGAAAAACATCACCTTCCTCACACTCCTCCCAGCAGTGTCTGCCTGTGCTTGAAGACACGACCAACCTTCACATTTTTTCCATGTAGAGCTCATGTGTTTAGGAGCAACCATACCTGCGGCCAGAACTCAGGCTCCTGTATGAACACGCTTGTGCTGATGATTCCAACACCCAAGAGCATGAAATCTTCCTTCACTGCCAAAAACTTTGCTCTGTGGAATAAAAGTGTCTGCTGGTGTAAAACACTGCCAGCTTTAGAGTGGAAAAGCACCTTCTGTCACCACCCCCCAGCCTGCAGCCGCATCAGCGCGTTCGCTCCAGATAACGCCCGGTACCGCGAACGTGGACGGGGCCCAGGCTGGGCTTTTATGAGCAAGCTGAACCCTCTCCTGGCTTCTCCTTGAAGCAAACATGGTGAAGCACGTTGCTTTCAACGGGTATATAAAGATTGATAACTCTGAAAGCCCTCCAGCTTTTTCCTTTAGGAGGTGACACAAGCCGCCGCTCCTGAGCGGTCTGTGCGGTGCCAACGCCCAGGAGTTATTTCCAGCAACAGCCACATCAGCCACTCACAGCTGCAGTCTGCTCAGTGTGGAATTCTCGATGGCCATCTCCAACAAAGTGCTGTAGATGGTATCTCTGGTGAGATAGGTGAAGTCTAGCAGTTGCACACACGTCTGATGTAAGGGCTTTGCAGGAAGCAGGCAGCCGTTGTGCCCTAGCACAGAGATCACACATCACCAACCATCCGTCCCGAGTCACTAAACTGAGCTACACAGGAGTGTTAGCTCCTGTAAGGGATGAAGGTTTCCAGTGACAACTGCCCTTTCTTCCTGAATGCCACAGGCATTCTCGTGCCACTGGCTTTCTTAATCTCAGTATCATTTCACTCATTCTGAAATTCAGGCTGTCAGACCTTGGTGAAGAAAGTGGTTATAACCCTGTAGAAAACTTGGGCTTGGGGATTTCAAACTCTTAACGAGTCACAACTGCCTATCCAACAACATTCATTCAGAGTCTACCAAGGACAAAGTTCTCATCTGAAAAGTAAAGCCCTGGACAGTGAAGACTTTCATGTGCCTCCACAGCATGCAAAAATCTGCAGCATGAGACACTGTTGTTCAGATCAGTAACAGCTCTAGTACGCTTTTAAAAACATTCTTTCTCAGTCTCTCCTGTTAATGCTCTTACCCAAGACCTCCAGAAGCAACTCCACATAAGCCAAAGGCGTTGGCACATTGACCTGGAAGTGCAGAGTTTTTAAAACAGCAAGCTCTGACTCGAGCAATTCCTGTTTAGTGTAGGAGAGCCTTAAGGACTGCAGAAATTTTAAAGCTGTGTCGCTGTTAACTATCTGGAGAGGAAAAAAAAGACAAATTATCTTCTAGGCAATAAGGCACTTGCTACTAAGAGAGCATCTCCCTGCTTTATGCCTCGTGGAGCTGAGGCAGGAGCTGGTGCCGTGGTGACACCGCCCGCGTGCCCAGCTCTGCCCAAGTCATCTTCAAATCCAGCTTGGACCTTCTCTCCCAAGGTCTCCTCTACTCCACAGACCTTCCCCGGACAGCGTGACCCCTCTGTGGCCACACGACGTTCAACAACCACAGGATGAGTCTTCCTGCTACCTGTACTTCTTCCCCCATGTACCGGGAACACTTCCTGACAAATTGTTACTTGATGGGTGACAGTTAGCCTGCCCTAAACAGAAGAGAGTCAGGTCTCCGTTTCAACATCCTTTGCATTTCATTATCATTATTGCCTTTCAAAGAGGAAATCTATTTTTAAAGAGAAATTAACATACTTGTATCATTTACTATTAATTGCTGTTATTATTTACTATTAATAGGATGTGCCATTTACCACACTGCCACAAAACCCTGTAAGAAAAGACTTAGCAGGCTTACATCATAGTGCAAGGAAAGTTTGCTGGCGAGCTGAACGCACGACACCAGTCGCAGGACAAACGTGTCACATATCTGATCCTTCAGAGAGCTCCAGCTGCTCCCCTGTCCTCGTTCACAGCTTTTATCACTCTCTCTGGAGGACTTACAGATTTGTTCTACGTGCTTGATCATAAACCTACAAAACGCACAACTGCTTAAAAGACAGTTCTCTCCTGCTAAGAAAAAGGAAGAAGAGCAACGGTGTGTGCTCAGAACATACAGAGAGCTGTTCAGAGGGGTTAAAGGAGCGGGGACAAAGCTCCAGACGTGCAATGACACACGACGGGCTGTCTGGGCAGTGGCACGGACCGGGTGCAGCGTACGCACACGAGAGAGACGAGAAACGCGCCGGGTGCCGGGTTCTCCGTTACCTTTCGACCAACTCCACCGCCTGGTATTTCGTTGACTGGTCCAAGTGCCACTTTTCTGACAAGAGGAATACGAATTCTGCAAGAAAGCACAACAGTGCCC